ACTTGTACTTGCTGTAGCTTTTCAAGAGTGTCTCTTCCCCCAGGATAGATCAGGTGTAGCATAACCAGGTTTTCAGAGTAGTGCGCAAACGCTAGAGCAGGGGTTAACCTGTGTTCCTGCAGAGAGAATGCTGTTCCAAATCGGCAAAATAATTTAAAAGCCCCTCCTGATCGAAATGACCATTCTTGCCATACAAAGCCTCCAGAGTTTAGACTTCCAAAATGTGCAGAGAATGGAGACACAGGCCACCTTCCTTCACGTAAGATGGACCCTTTTATTTATTAACATTGCCGAAGGGCTTTTTAATTTGTTTTCCTTCTGGGTAGGCTGTGTAGTCGCATAGAGTTTTGAGATAGGTTTAAGCTGTAACCCTTTGTGCAATGCAATCCATTGGGTATGTAGTCCCCTTCTCTTCCCTCCCCCCTTATTTCACTGTTTGGAATGCTTGCCTCTGCTTTGTGCTGTTTTTCCTTTGTAGCAGTTACTCTGAGTTTTATAAAACCACAGACATCAGCGCTAGCACGATGTTACTCTTTTGATTTTTGTCTGTTTGTTTTAAACCTGTTTGTCATCAATAAAAATATTAATAAACAGCTGTTGCATTCAAGCTGGAGCCTCTCTTTTTCCATCTTTGTTTCAGCTCTTTTTGAAAACCTTCACTGAAGTTTGGCTTAGTTTCCGATTGTATAAACTTCTCATGTTTTTATTACATTTTTAACACAACCTAGTACAAAAGTGGGGTGTACAGAGCATACATGAGTAAGCAAATGAACTGTGAAAAGTCTGTTACAGGTAAATGCCCTACCCAGGTCCCCTCTTCTGGGCTTGTCCAGTCCTGCACGTGCCTTAAGAACGAGCGTCAACGGGAATGGTCAGGAGCCTGATGAGGCACAGCCTGTGCCCATGCATGGATGTTGTGCAGCAGTGATGTGGGTTGGAAAAAGCTTGTAGAAAACCAAGAGAAGCAACACACAAGCTGGAAGAAGACTCCCTCATGCCCTCTGCTGGAAGTGGGGGTAAGATGGTGCCCAATTTGATATGCCTGTGTGGGCATCTACATGGCCTCAGAGCTCCTTTTTGCTCTGCTGGTAAACCAAGACTGTTATATTTGCTAAGGAAGCCCTTCAAATGGGCTTTATAGCAATGTCTAGGCCTGGTCTCATTGCCCCCAGATGCATGTGGTAGAGCAGTCAGATGTCTGGTGATGGTAGAATTTGGGCTACTGTGCTTGTTCTACCCTGTGATCAAACTCCGGTCAGCAGCCAACCTCAGCTATGTTGCATTAGTGCATTTAGGTGATTTTACAGCTACGGCTTGGCAGAAAGGATTTCTTTCATCCCTGTCTGCTCTGGCTCACAAGATGAGAGTGGTAAGAATCCTTGCTTTTGACTACAGCAAAAAGTCTGCTGCCGTCTCCAAGTCATTTACTTGGCAAGCACAGGTAGGGGCCAGCCTGACTTATGTCATTACAGCAGTGAAATTCCAGTAATTATTAGACACACCCTCCATGCTTTCATAGGCTTTAGTAACTGCTAGCTCCTGCTGAACTATCACAGTAAATTGGACTCCTCTGTCCTCTAAGCTTCGTGAGGCAGGGCCAAACTCCACCTTCACCAGTGTTTCAATTAAGTTTCTGAATTAGGACACTTAAGCAGTAGGGCACAAGCACATTGCCTGGGTGGGATAGTGGTGACTTTCCATTACTACGCAGCAGGGTCTCCAACCCACTGGGTTCCTGTTCAACCAACTAAACTTAGGCATGTTATCAGTGAGCACAACAGAAATTCATTGAGCAGGAGAGGGAAAGGTTGTCATCCCTGAAAACTACTTAAAACAACTTAGAAGAAAAGTGGTTAAACCTTTAGCTCCCCCACAGGGAAAAAGACCCATCCTGTTAATGCCCAAAAGTCCAAACATTAAGATGTAGTAGGTACAAAAACAGCCTGCACTAGTTTGTCTGACTTGCATTTAAAAAGAAAAAAGTTTCAAGTTTAATTCATATCCCTTGTTCCTTCTCTGCCCCCTCACCAGAGGGAGATTGCAGCTGCCCTGCTCCAACTAGTGCTCTTCCTGCCATGGCAGGGGGTCGGACTAGATGATCTGCTCAGGTCCCTTCCGACCCTAGAAACTATGAAACTAAAGCCCCTGCCTGGCACCCTCCATGCGCAGGTGTCTCTGTACAGTCCTGTGACCTCGGGAGCAGCTGCTCCGTTCTGCTGCTTGCAACAGACTAAGGGTGGAGAAGCAGGTTGTGATCAGATGAAGTCAGAGAAATGATTCAGTGCATGGGGGAGTTGTTCTGCTGGCTGCTCCCCTGAAGCCACAGGAGCTGTGCTGGGTTTCTGATGTAAAGCACATCTGCTTGCATAATGCACACAGACCCTCTGGCCTGACTAAAGATAGGAATGACTTGGTAGCTTTGCCCAGGCTTCAAGCAGATTACAAGAAAGACTTCACTTAGCATCCAGCACGTTTACTGTGAAATAAAGTAGGCAGGTGGTGGCAACACAAAGCTGTTAATGTAGAGCACAGCACTGGCTTGAGACTCTTCTAATAGAAGAGCCCAGAGACCTGTTGAGGGACTTCAGCAGCCTCCACTGGGCTGGATTCAGGCTCAGCACAGGCCAGTGGGAATTTTGCAGCTACCCGCACGCACTACACAGTTCACAGCAGTTAGTCGCTGCTCCCACTGCCTTGAACACAAGCGTGGCCTGCCATCCCCCCAGACACTGGGACGAGATCATACATCCCTGTTGCTTTAATGCTGCATGTAAAAGACAAGGCTCTAGCACCAGCCAAGACTAGTCCACACAACTGCAAGTTGGCCAAGTCCTGCTCCTGCACCTCATTGAGTCCTTGTTGTGTTAGTGGGGAAATCGAGCCACCCAGATGGCATTAAATTAGTTTCTGTATGAACCAGATTCTCTGCTCCCTACTGGGAACAGACTGTGCATAACCCGTTCCCACCCCCCTCCCTCCCGAAACAACGGTATTGCTCATGCAGTGCACAGAGGCTGGGAACAGGCAGCAGCAGAGCACACAGGAGGGTACAGACTGGGAGGTTTAACAGCAAAAGAGCAAGAGAAAAATACACCAGAGAAAGGACTAGTCTATTGCTCTTCTCTGCTGTCTGCTTCAGGGCCAGCCAGCCTAGGCGGAAGGCAGGGCACTAGTAACACTTGATGCCAGTCGGTAGACTACAGCCCATTCAGCAGAAAGAAGAGGGCTGTGGGTGTGGGTAACTGAGGCCCAACATTAGCCAGGTCACCGAAGTCCATTTAGGCTTGCTGCAGCGTTCCCAAAGACTGGTTTCTACCAGCAAGGAGCTTGGAGCAGTATTCTTTATAGCACCAACCTTGCTGCAAAATCCTGTCCTCACAGCCCCAGAAAAGTCCACCCCTTCCCATGCTCACACACACTGCCTGGACCTCTGACTAGTGCAGGAGGCAACAAGGTGGTATCTGCCATCAAGCACAAGCAGCAAAACGAACTTCCACTCAAACATCAGTCTGTGCAGTTCTTTACACTGGGAGGGAGCAGAGTCCACCCAGCAGGTCAGCAACTGGGGGAAAACCCTGCGCCATTCATGCCAGCTTGTGCACCTTGGTGCCAGCGGTTGAGATCTCCCCTGTGAGGATGCATCTTACACCCAGGTATCAGGAAAGGGGCAGGGGGAGCTCTCGACACAAGCCGCACCAAGGCAAGACCCCAGTCTCTTGCCAGGAGATCCAGTTCCATCACAACCCCCACCCCGAGCCACCCATCACCTGTCCTTATCTGCAGCCACACTCGTCCACCACCATGTCTTCGTAGTGCCGCAGCACCACGTTGTCGTGGTTGTCGTAGAAGAGGACGGAGATGGGGGAGAGGCGGACGGGGACACAGCAGGGCTGGGGGGTGCCCTCGGGGTCCAGCGAGTGCACCATGGTTTGCAGGATGGCGTGGTTGGTGCTGTTCAGCTCGGTGGTCAGGGGGAAAGGGCACTCCCCCAGGCAGTAGTTGGCCATGTAGCCCTGCGGCGCGATGATCCAGTTCTCCCAGCCCACGTCGCTGAAGCTGATGTAAAGCCGCCGGGACTTGCAGAGGCTGCTCGGCATCACGGGGGTGTAGTAGGAGCTCCTCTTCTTCCTGGCGGCCTTGCACTGCTCCAGCTGGAGGGACACGACCAGCAGGGAGGCATCGAGGAAGGAGTCGATGCCGGCACAGAAGTTCCCCGGGGGCCTGCCCAGCAAGGCCGAGGACCCAGCCCCGCTGCTCATGGAGATCTCCAGGACCAAGCCCAGGTTCCTGCTCTGGGTTCTCCAGTCCCTGCCCACCTGGGTCAGGTTGAAGAGGAGTGACTTGTGCAGCTGCACGAAGGACTGTACCAGCAGGAGCCTGTGGCTGGGTGGCGGGGAAAGCAGCTCCCACAAGGAGGGCGGTGGGGCACGGTACAGCCTCAGCTCGAACACCTGCCCAGGACTGGGGGCCCGGTACGAGTTGTGGCCGAACTGGAGCTGGAGCTGCGCCATCGTGAGCTGCTCCCCATCCTCCAGCACAGAGAGGTTGAAGAACAGATGCTTCTCCAGGCACAGTAGGGTCCGTGGCCCCCCACTGTGAAGGAAGTGGCCTGAGGGGGAAGGAGGACAGGAGAGGGGCATTGGTACTGCCTGCCCAGAGCTGTGGCCACCTGGCAAACAGGTGGGCAGATGCGGTTCACGGCACGTGCTGGAGTGACGCTAGCAGGAGACACAGCAGCGGTGGCAGGGGCTCTGGCACAGGCTGGTGGAGCACAACCCCAAGGAGCCTGGGCACGCACACCTGGTGCTAGCACCAGGCCCACCCCCATGCTCCTGAGCAAGCATATGTTACTACTGCACGTAACAGGAGATATGTGCCTGCATACACAGCAGGGCTCAGTGCCCCCAGCCGCAGCACAGCTGCTGTGTCTCAGAGCTGGCCCTGGGCACCCTGCCCCGGTGCTGGGCCAGGCCTGCTCTGGGGAGGAGGTCCAGGCTGCCGCACCTGTAAAGTGTTTGCAGACAGAGCAGTTGTATGCTGGGCACTACTGAACCGTGACTCTGCAGGGCTTGAGACGGATGGGATGTGGGGCTCCGGCCTCTGCCTACAGAAGCAGCTTTGCTCCAACTGGCAGTGCAGAGCCTGGCACTCGCTGCCCCCTCCCTATACTCTACTTGCAGTGTTGGCACCAGCCACAGGAGAAGGTCTCCTGTGACCTCCCAGGACTCCAGGAGCAGCGGGCATGGCTCAGGTTACAGCAGCAAGCAGCTCTCAAAGCAAACTCAGAGCACCTGGAGAGGGCAGGTCTCATTGCAGAGCCAGGGAAGCTGGAGCAGAGCAGGGACTGGCCTGCCTGGGGGTCCAGAGCAGGAACAGATCATACCGGTCTCAACTCCCAGTCCAAACTGCGCTGCCTCTCTGGACCAGTGACCAGGACCTAGACTACAGATGGTGCCTAAGCTGAAGCGGATGCCCAGACACCTGGCTCCCAGGGACTGGGCCTTAAGGGCAGTCACCAAAACCCCCAGAACGTGGGAGTCTCTGTACCTTGGTCGCTGAAGACGCGTATGATGTTCCCGGGGACGCTGAACTCCTCCACCCAGCAGGCATCCTCCCGGCTTGGCCTCAAAGGGGAAGGGATCTCTCTCTTCTGGAAGATCCGCCAGAGCACGGAGGGCACAGGAGCAGGCGACCTGGGGCTGGGCTTGGCGCTCAGGCCCAGGGATTTCAAAAGCAAGCTTTCTCGTGTGCTTAAATCCATCCCTAGGGTCCTGCTGACCAGAGCCCAGAAGAGGCCAGCTGCAAAAACAGCTCTCCAAGAGACCAGCCCCATCTTCCAGCAGACAAAGAGACCAGCAGCTGGAGAGGAGCTCTGCACACCAGGCAGCAGGAGGGGTGGTGTTGGTGTGATTGGAGCCTTTGATCTGTTTAGGGCTCAATTAGCAGAGGGCTCCCAGGATTGGGTGGAGGAGTGCAAACAATTACCCATGGCCCTTAACCCTTTGGGTTCAGAGAGCCCCAGGTGGCTTCACCCTGTGCAGCTTCAGGCCTGCAGCAGACTAGGATGGAGCTCAGTCCAGATGCCCCACATGGACGCAACCATGTTGGGACAGAGGCGCCTGCAGCCTCAATGCCCATTCCTGGAAACACAGGCATCGCTGGTGGGCTCCAGAGCTGTCCTGCCTCCCCAGGCCTCCTTGCTAGGTCTCCAGCCCAGTGAGTGCACATGGCTCTTGGCTGTTTGCTGGCCTGGAGAGCTGAATGTGGCTCAGGCCGAGGCTGCGGAGAGGGTGCAGGGCCAGGGACTCTGCACCCCCCACCAGCAAGCCTGTGAGCATAGGTACTGGGGATGCCTGCTGGGCACAACGGGGCAGCACCAAGGCATGCAGGCTCAGCCACAGGCAGGGACAGATGAAACAGGGGCTGGAGGGCGCCAGATAGAACCGAGCCACGGCCAGAGCGGTCCACGGTGCTCCAGCACGGCTGCGGGGCTCTGCCTCTGAAGCAAGATGCGCTGGCGTCACAGCTCCCCAGGGCAGGCACCTTCCTATGCAGGGCAGCCTGCAACACTTCCACTCCCACTGATGCTGCCCTGCATCTCCCCAGGGGATCAGTCCAGGGGGGTCTGGCATCCAAGCTGCCCTGGCAGACAGGAGCAAGGTGCTTTCTTCTTGCCTCTAAAGCAAAGGTGTTGATGGTGGGCAGCTTGGAGCCTCAGGGTCCCTGCAATGGAGATCAACATCTGCGCCAGCTGTGTCTGACGCTTCCCTCTGCTCTGATGGGCTGCAAATTTCCAGCGTTCCCCATCCTCCCCACATCCACTCCCTGCCTGGTAGCAACATGCCAGGGACCACAGGAGACCCCTCCTCCTGCACCAGCCCCTGCACCCTGACACATGCCAGCTCCAGCAGCCCTGGATGCAGCTTCTCTCTACCCTGAGTGCATCAGGAGTAGGGCTTTTGCAAGGGCACCTCTGCTTACTGACTCCCCAGCCCAGCAGGGCTAACACACAAGAGAACACAGGCCTGCTTCCAAGTCCCACCTACAACCAGAGGCTGGACGGAGCTAGCGCGGCCCCTCGCTCACATCAAGTGGACACGGGAGCAGTCCCTCCTGACCTGCTATGCCCAGAGGGCAGGATCAGGCCCTGGAGCACCGGCAGTTTGTCCCCAGGCGACTCTCATGAAACATCCCTCTAAAACATCCAAGTCAAAGCCAGGCAGCCGAAGCACCTTCTGACC